GAATCATAAAATATTCTGTTTTCTAATCGCCTGCTTAAATTCCCTCCCCAGGACACCTGCCAAGTTTTCTGTCAGGGCTCACTGAACACTTCTGATAGGAAAATGCACTTTCTTTCAGTTTGCACAACACAGCCCTGACAACTGGAAAGAGCCCAGAGTGTTTGTTCTATGTATAAAAAATGGCAGATAATTTAAGTGTTTTCCTTAACCTAAGGCAGTTTTTGTTCTAGAAGCCCTAAAGGAGGATTTGGAGAGTTTATTAAGAGACTAAATTAGTTTAATAGTTGCAACATGATTATCTTAAAAGTCACATTAGATTTATATCAAATTACAGAATAAAATTACAATCAAACCTTTAGAAGTAAATATCCATCACTTTATTTTTAAAATGTATTGCGATCTACTGGAAGAGAAAGTAGTTAGAAATCTTGGAGACAAAGGTATAGGCAGAGAGTTCATGGGAAAAAAAACCCAGACTGTATGGGAAATACTTCAAAGAATCAACAACTGGGATCTCATCTTATTAAAAATCTTTTTTGCACAGCAAAAGAAATCACCAACAAAGTGAAAAGACAACCTACAGAGTTTACATCATGTATGAAAAAATTTTAGCCCATTGTCCCTTAGACAAAGGACTTCTATCTAGAACATATAAAGGATTAAAAAAAATCAGACCCCCAAATTCAAAGACCCAGTTCAAAAATGGGCATCTGAGATGAATACATGCTTCTCAGATGAAGAAATACAAATGGCGAATAAATATATGAAAACAATGTTCAATATCATTGGTCATTCAAGAGATGCAAATTAAAACAACATTGATATCCCACCTCACCCCAGAAAGAATGGCTATCATCAAGAAATCAACCCATAACAAATGCTGGAGGGGCTGGAGGGGCTGAAGGGAGCCCTTCTCCACTGTTGGTGGGAGTGTAGACTGGTGAAACCACTGTGGAAATCAGTGTGGACATTCATCAAAAAACCAGGATTAGAGATCCTATTCCACCGAGTTATTCCCCTTCTGGGTATTTTCCCAGAAGAATTAAAAACATCATACCACAGTGATATATGTGCACCCACGTTTATAGCAGCACAATTTGTCATAGCTAAATCTGGGAAACAACCCAAATGCCCATCAACCAAGGAATGAATAAAGAATACGTGGTATTTGTATACAAAGGAGAACTACTCAACTATAAAGGATAAGGGAAGGGAAACTTGAAGAAACTATGAAGGGAAACTTGAGACCATACTCATAAATGAAGTAAATGAGACTCACATGTGTAAACCTTGTATGTCCCCCTGGTGTGAGAAACTGAAAGAGTAAGTCAATTCTAAAATGTACAACAGATATTGTGAAAGGGAAGAAATTGTTCAAAAGGAAAAAGAAACTAGGATGGGTGAAAGGGGAAAGGACAGTAGGGAACAGGGAAAAATGAAGTCAGGTGTACAATTAGTGTCTCTGAGTTCATTAAAAAGGAAGGTTTGTGCTAGTGTCGATTGGAGAAATTTTTATTCCCATATTTTGTACCCTGAGCAACTACTTTAAAGATAACAACATGTAATATATTAACTACTGTTATTCTCATGTTATTTTGTTATGAAGTTTTGTTTTACCTTTTTTCCATAAAATATAAAAATATATCATGTATGAAGGAAAACATGCATAAAACATATCTGGAAGTTTATTCATGTGTTGTCATTTGTTCTAGAAAGAAGGGAATATGATATATAATATAATATATAATATAATATAATGTAAGGAATAGTTCTAAATTATTTTGACTCTATTGAAAACAAAAATTAGTAAAATCATGACTTAAGGTATGTCAATTGAATATGGTGCATTTTGAAAACTATTTTTAGTACCTTATATCAGTTACATAATACTTTTGGACTATAGTCATTTTCATTAAAATTGTTGTCAAGAAGAGATATTTTCTGAAACTTTATGCTGAAGTGTGATGCTAGGAAAATGTTCACAGTCTTAGTATTTGTCATTTGTCTTTATTTGTGTCCCATGTAATGAATATTAACTGATTTAAATGTTGGGAAGATAAAAAGCAAAAACAAGTTATAGTGCATTCTAAGTACAAGAGGTGAACATTTCTGAGGAAAAGGATGGCTTGTTATGTACCACTATATATTTATGTGCTTTTTAAGTAAAATGGATAAAGGAAATTCTTTCTGAAAATTTTGGTTTGTAAGTTGCAACTTTCAGACTTACTTTAATCAGAAGAAATGGCCAACAAACCACTATAGAAATTCTATCCGCTAGAAATTTCTTTTTTGGACAGTAGCAGTTATCAGTAGCTCAAAGTACTGGGACATGTTTTTCTAACTCAGGCCAGGGAAATAAACCCCATAAATGTTCTTGATTCATTCTTTACTTAAACCCAGTAAAATAAGGGAAGAGTCTTCATTCATTAGAAGAATACATTCTTGATTTCTGATAAATAGAAAATGTACTTTTAACTGTCAGCTAACATCCCTAAAGTTGACATTGAGAACCACCCTGGACTGGAATTCCCTGTTTCCATCCTCCTCAGTGGATTTATCTAAACTATCTATGAAGAGAAGGATAAAATTGTGCACTTTCTAATGGGTCATTTTCTCTCCTTCCATTGCTTTTTAAAAATTTTATCTCTAAAACTGTGTCTGAAATTTTTTATACACCTTTTTGGTAACATTATCATTGAAGATCAAAGTATGTGCTTTGAACATTCTTGAAATCTTTTTACACATCATTCACTAATCAAAATGTATTGGCTTTGCAAAGGCATGGTACCATGATGAGTTGTATGGATACAAAGGTAAACAAAATAGACATTGTCCCAACTCTTACAGAGTTTTCTTTGTAGTTTCAAAGACACTATATAGTTAGGTAGACATGATCAGCGTATAGGGCCTTACATTTGATGGTCAACCAATGATTGAGTTTAACAAGCATTTTCATCCTATTACTTCCTGTTTGAAAGTCTGCCATGGACATGCTTTGAGTATTTTAAGAAACATGAGAAATAGTTTCCGACCTTATGGAGTTTGTATTCAGGCTTGGGAGACAGGTAATTTAATAATCAAGATAAAATCTTTTTCTTGAATACAATGCCAGTGCTGGGGGCTTGGCTGACAGTACCAGAATATGTCTCTTGCACCCTTCGCACTGCCCTTGATCACCTCAGCATCACAAGAATGGCATTTGCCTCTTGTCTCTTTGTCCTTGCCTTTGCATGTCTTGAGTGTAAGGCTCCTTCCCACTGCTGTCCTTAACAGGTCAGAGCAGCCATTTGACAGCTTCCTACCCCCTGTTGAGGTGTTAGATATTGTGTCTCAGCAATGACGAAAGTCATAAAGACAAGCCTTAAAGATGAGACATTCAGGTATCTGTTATGGTTTATGTCTAGATGTCTACCAAAAGCCTCATATTGTTGTGGGAAAAATTTGAATCAATAGTAGGCAGGAGCTCAGGAAAGAAAGGAAATTTTACTGATGCTAGTGGACCCCAGAAGAGTACTCTCCAAAGTCAAAGGGGTTGATTACAGAGTCTTATTTATAGGTGGTACATAGAAGTTATAAGAACAAGATAAGCTTTCAGCTGAAGGTTATGGTACAATGGCTATCTTGTGGTGAGCATAGTTTTATGTAACATAGTTGTATGTAACTTCTGTGCAAGTTTTTAGCACCTTCACAGAAGTTTCAATCTGATGACAAATCACATGATTTAGCTGAGTTCAGAAAACAGAATGACTAACTTTATTGAATAAAATGGTCACAGTTAGGTCAGGATTTCTGCTTCAATATGCTCAAAGGTAGTACTTTTGGAAGGTTATTGGACCACTGAGGCACTGTAGCTAATTTTGCTAGGTGCAGTCTAATCAGAAAAATCAAGTCACTGGGAGTGTGATCTATAAGCCCACATCTTCCTCTCTGTCTCCTCCCTTTTCCCTCTCCTTCTTGACCTCCACTATGTGAGCGGCTTTTTCTGCCCATGCTCATCTGCCATCTTGTTTCTTGTTTGGAGCTGGCAGGCCATGGACTGAAACTTGAGCCAAAATAAACCTGAAGCCCTGAAATGGAATAGGATTTACTTGTCCTAGTAAGAATTAGGAAATACGGAATGAGAATCTAAGTTTCTTGGCTCAATCTTTATTTTTATCGCATTGCTCTACAGAAGGAACTGTCTGCTCTAAGATAGTCCATCCCTATTGTTCAGAGCATGTACCTGAGAAGAACCTGGTGTCTCTGGGAAATCTGAGAACAGATCTTAAATCTGTGAAGACTCCTTTCCTTTAGAATTAGACCTGATTTTCTTGTATTTTTGCCTTGAAAACATAGAATTGCTGACTTTTTGTGATCTCCAGATCTCTCCCGTGCTATTCAAGCCTGGTGTTTTAACAGAATAATACATAATAACCTAGAGTTTGCATGGTAACCTCTGATTATTTCTTTAATGTTTTGTGTTAAATATGAGATGGTAAGTGCTATGTCTAGGTAGATACAGATATGATAATAACAAGGGCTTAAGACTGATTCTAACAAGACATAAGAATCCCCTCTGGAGAATAAAGAGGGAACCATATGGAGACTTGGCCCTGAAGTGTAAAATTTTGGGTTCCCTATTCTACCAGTTCTCTACTCTGGACATACGGAATCAGAATCTTGATGTTGAAGGAAGCAGAAATAGAGGACAAGCACATAGATTTTGAAAAATCTTCAGAATTATTGATTCTCGGTTAATCTTTTTTCACATTTGTTTCCTCTTGATAGGTAAAGAACAGAATACACTTCTACAGGACTGAAGAGTAATCAAACAACCTAAACAATATTAAAGGAGTCTGCCATGCATAGTTTTATAGCCTGTTAAAAATAAATCGTATTCTCAAAGACTTCTCGGTCTCTGATGACCTGTGACTTTGCCTGTGGTGTCACATGCAAATAAGTTACTTCATAATGACTTCATAATGGGGCCTGAGGTTCTCACAATGGGACTACTGTTCTTAGTTCATAGGAACACACTGAGCATAGTAAACTCTTGATGAAAGGAACCAGGTAGAAGAATCATATTGCTCCTCATGGAGAAGATGAAAAACTTCTTCCTGGCTATTCTGGCTACTGGCTTTTTCTCATGTAAGCATTTATCCAAGAATCTTGGGGAAGGAAAGAACGTTTGGTCATCCTGGGGTGATAGCTAACCAGTAACAATTGTTATTTAGATGTAAAAATTACTTAGTATTTTCTCAGAGTTCACTACCTCAACTAGAGTAAGTATCAGCGGTTTATTTGGTCAATATTCCAAGAATTCTGGCATAGACAATTTCAGACTTGAGATATTTAAAAGATTATCTGTAAGAGTTGCATCAATATCTGGCAAATAATTTGGCCTTCTCTGTTACATAATCCATTTTGAGTCCAATCCCTCTTTCCCATTCCCGCTGTCCCACTTTTCTACACATTGATATTGTGTGTGTGTGTGTATATGGGTGTACACACAAATGCATTCTACACATAGTTGTGTCAGTTTTTGACACTGCTTACTACTAGAGTACCGGTAGGCATCAGGAAACCTTAAGAGAAGGCTCAGTACCTCCTACGTCACTCCAGCAAGTGACACCAACAACTGAAGTTCATGATGTAAAACTGAATCCATGGTGCAGGTAGATGCAGATGCGAAGAGAAAGTTCAGTTGCAGTAGCTGAAATAAGTAGAATATAGAATATGAAGGTAAAGCAAACTTTTAATAGCTTGAGTAAGCAAATGTTAACACAGTATTCCAAACATAAGAAAGGGCTTCCTTACAAGCAGATATAATTTAGAAAAAGGGTCCATTCAAAGTAGATGGTAATCAGAAAGAAAGGCAGATATCTCAGATCTCTATCAGTAAGCAGTTAGGATGACTATGAAGAGCTAGACCTTTCTCTAAAATAGGTCTCCACAATGTCTGAGTTGCCACAATGTCTCAGTGGATAATATTGCTGATTTCAGGAAGATGAAGCTTGAATTTAACTCCTTCCTGTGTAAGTTCAGCATTAAACCTAGAAATGGGCTAAGGTTGCGTTTCCAGAGAGGCCATTAAGGGTCCCCACACAAGAAGAAGCAAACAATGTTTGACAATCAAATATCGCTAGATAAAACTTATATAAAGAAGAAATTCATTTTTCTACAAATTTCATGGTCATTAATTTATATGTGATAATTTAATGGGAAAATTGGGTGTTTGTATTTTAATACTGCATTGGTTTTGGGGGTTTTTTGGGGGGGGTGTTTTTATTCTGGTACCGGGAATCGAACTCACGACCTTGTGCTTGCCACGCAGGCACTGTGCCACTGAGCTAAATCCCCAGCCCCCAATACTGCATTGTTTTAATTAATCCTTTAACGTTTTTTACTTTCAGGTGCTTTTGGTAGCCAAGTGTATAAGGTAAGTTTGCCATTTTCTATGTAAGAACAGTTTTTCCAATCTTAGACTTGCAGGATTTCTATTAGTTTGAAACATATTAAGCATTATAAAACTGCCAGTATCTGGCCATTTTCAATCTACATAATGACACTATTGTCCAGTTCTACTTAAATAGCTCTATCACAAACCATTTGCATTAAAACCAAGAATCATCTATCTATTCTGCTCACTTATGTCTTTGTGTATGACTGGAAATTAAAGTTCCTAATTTTTTTCTTTTCACTCCTTCCAATTTCACTATTTTTGGCTAGGCTAGGTTCAAATTCTCCTCGACTCTTGCCCATGTTGTTGCAAGAGGTATTTGATGGTCTTCTTACATTTAATCTGATCCAGGAGTTGGCAAACTAGGACCATATGTTTCAGAAAAGTAGAATTTTCTTGGAATATAGGTGTGCCCCTTTGTTCACATTTTACCTTTGGCTGCTTTTAGATGAGAAGAGCATAGCTGACCAGTTGAAACAGAGATCAAACAGTCAAAGGAAGCATAAAATATTTATAAACGTGCTCTTAAGAGGAAAAGCTTGCTGACCTCTGTTCTAATGTTGAGAAGGGACTTCCTAACATGTGAATCTGAATGAGACTTCTCTCTATTTAAAACAAGGACTCCTAGTGTCCTCAAGATAAGATTTCTGTATGCTTTAAAAATTGCTTCTTCCAGCCTTTTTTATGTTTTATTTTTAAAACTGTATTAGAATGTGTTCAAAGTACATGAAATTTATACTGATCTTAAGGAGTAGGTACGTGAACATAATCCATCTTGATTCGGTTTCATTCCTCTTTCCCTTCCCAGTCACTTCCCTCTCTCAGACTTTAAAACCTCCCTCCCCATTTTCATTTTTATTATCATCATTGTTATTTCTCAGGATCATTTGTATAGTTTATTGTTCAGCCTCTTGCTCCCTGAGAGAATTTCCCTTCTTTCATCTTAGAGTCTCGTTAATTTAAACTACTTTTATGTCTATTACTCCAGGTTTGTGTTTTTTGTGTTGAAAATTTTCTCTAATTAAGTATCCTTCCCATGCTCGTATCCAATTTTAAAAGTCATTTGCATTGCTGTAATGAGGGGCATTAAAATCTTATGGAAAAGAGAATAACCTGATATTTTGTGTAAATGGATACAATGTGATGTGAAGTACTAGAGGAGCAAAATGTGGCAGTGCATTCTAAACTGCTTGTTGCGTAAAGCTTATGAACAACCTGAGCTGTCTCCTACCTAAAGGCAAATTATTCTTATACTCAAAATCTTCTAAGTCCACTGTAGTCCAATTTGTAAAAGAGGAAGACAAAATACAATGGGGAGATAATTAGGAAAATTTAAACCTGATGGCTCCTTCCCTTCCTGGTCCAGAACCCTAGTATCCAAAAGGCTAAACTACCACTGACGCCAGAGTAAGATCACATGAGGTGGCCTGTTCCAAACTACAGAGTGAAAGGAGAGGAGGGGTGTGAAGAACTTATGTGATCTCAGAAGCATTTGAACAGTGCTTCTGGTCATTCCCATATGGTGGTTATAGTTATTTTAATTACTTCTTAGTAATGGTTCCCTTTCCTGCTCTCAAGTTGTCTGCATGATATAGCCTCAACTACCCTAGAAGATGGTAATCTCAAAGGCCCTGACAGCTAAATTTATGACAGCCTGCTTTTGATGTTTGAGATTTCTGACAATTTATCATAGTGTGATCTTCTCTTTGCACAAAATAAAATACCCAACCACTTATAGTAGAAGCAATAAAAGATCATTGCAGGATAGAAAAGATGACCTGTGAGTTTTCTTTTAGACCATTTCATGTGAGCATTATGAAGAAGAGATTGAACAGAAGCACCACATATGCTCCATTCGACTCAGCCCATTGTGTGCCTCCAACAATGTTACGTACTCTAATTCTTGTGTGTACTGCTTCGCCAACATGTAAGTGAGAACATAAAACCAACCCCACATCCCTTTTGAAAATCTAATGTGTAGATGATTCGTAACAGCTGACTGATATTTACTATTTTGAAAAACATGTGCGAAGGCCTTAAGATGTGATTCTGTGGACAAAAATGATGTAACATGAGGTTGAGCCTGAGGCAAGTGCGGGGGACAGGCAGCAAACAAATGGCAGTGTGAGTCCATCTCCAAGTTCAGAAGACAGGCCTCTCTTCCTCTCCTTTGAACATGAGTTTCAATATGAGATTCTGCGTGGAGGAAAAAAAAAAGATTTTGCTTCTAAAACCTTTGAAAATCATAGTTATAAGAAACATTACCTTTTATAAGATTTCTTAAAGTCACAAATCTTAGCATTCAAGGTCAGAAGAACCGGGGTGCAATCCTGCCCCTGTGGTTAAGCAATACTGGAAAGATCACCCAGCCCCTCCAAACTCAAGTTCTTAGCTGTAAACTGAGGTCATACTTCTGTTTCCCTCATTAAGCATGCTGCATCCACCATGACTCTCCTTTCCTGATATTTTTCAAACATATGAAGCTCTTTCCTGCTTTGGGGAATTGGACCCACTGAGCTTCCTACAAGAATATTTCTTTCCTGCTTTTCACAAGGCCAGTGCATTTTCCATCATTTAAGTTTCAGCCCAAACATATACTATCTGGCCATTGTCTTCCTTGAAAATCCTATCTACAGTAAACTCACTTGTGTATTTTCCCTATTAACTCTTTCTCTTTCCCTCTTAACATTTATCATAACTCTAAATATTTTAAATCTTCTATTTGTTTATTTCTCTCTTTTTCCACATGTTAGCTCAGGAAGTCAGAATGTAGGTATGTACTGTATTCCCAGCATAAATGACCTCTGAGGTAATTCCAGAGCTTAAGCCATCTGTCCTAAGTCATGCTGTTTAACAGAAAAGCTGAGATTCCAATTTCTACCTGCAGTGTTTAGAGGCTTCACTCTTAAGCACATACATCATTCTGAGAGATTGAGCCAAAAGAACAGATGATAAAATTTTTAAAATTACTTATAAAGGGTGCTTTAGTTTTGCAAGTGTATTTCATATCCAGTGTCGCATTCAGTTCTCCTGAGGGCCATCTGATGTATGAACTTAACACATACATGCCAGGGCCTTACTTGGCAGTGACACTGTGTTAAATGCTTATGAAGGGAAATATTTTTCACTTACATCATCCATACTCTGGTGTTTACCTTGTTCTTGGCCATTAGGGCCATTGCAGCCAACAGAGCATCTCTGAGGTGAGCCTCAAAACAGTCTTAGTAGCTGCCCAGAGTTACGACCCTTTTACAGACACAGCTATTCTGACTCACACAAGTAAAAAGATTTTTCCAAAGTGTCTCAGCAAGCCATCAGTGTACCCTTCTTCTGCTTCTTAACATACAGGTTTGCACATTTGCTAAACACTCCAGTAGTTTTTCACTGTGATTACAAAGCAGTGGGGTCTCCCGGTAAAAGGATGTAGTGTGGTAAGAGGAAAATCTCTGTAGCTATGGGATGTTTGAAAGTCAGGAGTTTACAAATCAAGAGGCTAAGAGGAAGAAAGGTTATATTTCATACAAGTGATCTCTGAACATTTGTATCAATTTCTCTTAGAGCTTTGAATTATACGCTTACAATTCGACATGGAGGAGTATGCAGAAAATCTCCAGCATCTTGAGTATGACATGAGTTTTCCTCATTCATCACAAGTGAAACCTTTAGAACTAAGCATTGCCTTTCCTTCATAAAGTGGAATTCATTGTATTGTCTTATTTTTTCTAAACAATAAATATTATCTAATGGAAATCTCCTTTGACTTGGGATATAGGTAATGAGATGTATGAGATCAGTGTTTAATTGTAGACATGCAAAGCTGAATAGAAATTAACTCTTGAATTTACTAACTCAGTTTAAAAGGCTAATTGAACAATGCAGTCATTTATTTAATAAAGGTTAAATTCTTATGAGAGTCAAAGATATGGCTGGACTATTGACTGTTAGTGGTAAACTAAAACAAATGTTGGTACTTGTGCAGTTTCTAATCAAACAAGGAAGCAAGAAAACACACAAGTATTAAACAATATAAAATTCAAGTAAGAGAAAAACAACCTATGATATACAGGAATTGACCTTGGCCTTGGCACCGATTGGCTTGCTCTTACATCTGGCCTTTGATATTTTCCTGTTTAAGATTAAAAAGTCCCTAAAATGTTTACAATCTGAAAAAGGTGTTCTGTGACTGTGATGAATCACAACACAAACACTATATCATGATCATGTCTGAAGTGAGCCTCAAAACAGTCTCAGTAGCTACCCAGAGTTATGATCCTTTCACAGACACTGGCAAAAATGGACATTATCCAAGCCACAGAATACCAGACATCTCTTTATCTAGACTAATATAAATGTTTGCTGCCACTTCTCAATTACACTCCTCTCAGTTAACACTCCTCTCTTTCTGAAAGAGACATTTAAAGATATCCAATCATGAGATTACTCTCATTTGTTTGGAATACCTGTGGAAAGCAAACTCTCTCTTTCTTAAGCTTTCCTCAAAGTTGACCTAATGATCCCAAATCCTACCAAAAAAACCTTCCTCATCAACATACCCTATGTTTTCTCATACCCTATGTTTTACGTATTCTTTCAAGTTACGATGAATAATAAACCCAACATGTTCAACTATTGGTGTGTACCTGGAGGGCTCCAGATGGGGGACAGGACAAATGCAGCACTTGTTTTTTCTTTTTCTTTTTCTTTTTTTTTTTTTGGTTTTTCTCTGATACCGGGAACTGAACTCACGACCTTGCGCTTGCTGGGCAGGTGAAATGCAGCACTTGTTAGCAACGATACACCATCCTGTTTCTTGCTTTGTTTGTATCTGCCACAATGTCTAGCGTACTCTCATTAGCATCAAGTATATAAAGGTCCTGAGGTGCACTGGATAGCCCTTCTTGGTGAAGAACTGATTCATCTAAAATGTGAATATTGTTCCTACAAGAAACATCTCGCCTATTGAGTTAAATGGCTATTATATCCATCCCTCCTGCTTCTTCTCCTCATACCCATGACGGATGTCAGTAATCAAAGGCAACACACTACATTGAGCTGGATGTGGCCCAATGTCCTTCTCAACAAAGCAATGGGGAAAAAACAAACAAAAAAAAAGCAATGGGGGCATGGTTAGCCATCAGATTTGGCATGAAAAATAAACTCTGCCATTCCTGCCCTTACCTTTTCATTTTAAGACTAAGGAGGATTCATGCTTCTTGAGATGAAGTGTCCAACTAGCACCTTAATACTTTTCACTTTCCTACAGTTATAGCCACGCTCTGGTGATCTGACTGCTCTCCTAGCATTTCTAAAAAGAGACCCATTCAGGAATGTGAGCTCTTGGCCTATCCCAACAGGTCTCTAGATACTGACAGGCATTTACTGTCATTGCTTGCTTCTAGTACTGTAAGTAAATTCTACCCTCTAGTGGGGAAACCTCACTACTACCATATATTGAACATGTTAGGAAGTGTGAGGCCTTACGCCTATCATTCCCAGTACTGGTCGGACTGCCCCCTTTTGAGTATTACAATACTCAAAAGTGTAACACTCAAAGTTATTTTACACGTTTGAGTTTTACACTCAAAGTGACAGGAAGGGAAAAGAAGGAACAAGAGAGGTAAAGCAACAGAGGATTCTTAGATCCCCTACCTGAAAATCCTGAAGGAATCTGATTTCAGGTATGGCCATGTCAAAAGTCTCCAAAACTTTTGCAAGAAATCTTTTCCATCTCTTGGATCTATACATTCTTAATATCTTAATTCTCATAGATGCTTTGCCCACCTCACCCCACTCTCATCCCGAGTGATAGATCCTGGCAGATCTAGCATTAACTAGCTCAGCAGCAGAGAAATTTCCTTTTTCAAAACTCTAACAAAAGGTTTGAGTCTTGTTGTTTTAGTTGGCATAAGATGCTTATTTCTGAACCAGTTATTAGAGTTACATGCATGTCTAGCTGTCATTGAAATGGGCTGAATTACAAGGCCCCCACAAAACCCAGAGGTGGGTCGGCTTTATCCTATGAACTAGAAAAGGATAAAGAATTGTTCCCCAAAAGAACACTAAAGTGCTACTTCCAGAAGTAAAATGAATGCAGGTCAAGAGAACAAAAGACACGGTACTTTGCGCTATTTGGTTGCAGTCTTTTCCGTCTCAGGAGCTTGTGGATTATCCTCAAGCCTGCCTCTTCCCTATTTTTCTTCCCTTACCACAGTCAACAATTTGGTCTGTATCTATGATAAAAGTTATAATGACCTCAGAAGCTAAAGCATTTTATGTTTTAGCAAAAGGTATGGAAATGCCATGCAGACATCTGAGCTTTCTTGGAGAGCCATTCATTCCCAAACAAAAGGTCTTGATCTTATACTACACAAACCATGGACAGCTTAATGTCTTCCCAATTTCAGAAAGCCTTAGGGCATTTATGATCTCTGGGTAGCTCTTGTTCTGTAGCCCTAATTGGGCAAAGTTCTCCATCAGCCTTTTCTGCCTCCACTGCTGCTGCCTAACTCCCCGCAACTTTGGTGCATGTTAGACTTCCCGCCTTCATTCCTGAGGCACAGTCAAGGTTATTTGAGGTAAGAGGTGTTTTCTGAAGATTTGTTGTGATGGAGGAGGATTATAACTAACAAAGAAGAGGAACTGTGCCAAGATTCTTCCACTTAAAAATGGTGAAAATCAAAATGAAACTTAGGACAAAATGAGAAAGTTGTGGGCACAGGCAATAAAGTGCATCAGAGTGGGTCTTAGTTTAGGTCTTGTTGTACCAGAGACTCAGCATTGTTAGGAGTATAACTTTCTAACTCTGTCCATTGCTTGTCTATCAACTTCATTAAATTTTTACTTGATCATGTCTTGTGGAGGCTCCACAAACCCAATGAGAAAAATGGCAGCTACCACCTCATTCATTCATTCAACTAACAGGCCATGGGAAAAGGGCTGGGAGTAAGATAAAGAGAATCTTACAGTTCAGCCAGATATCCTTCCAATCAGTATGCAATTGTAGTTCCTGAACATGGCAAATAGAATGGTTTTTAAGTGATTGTCTTAAAACATTAAACCAAGGATCAAATTTAGGCATAGAAAGGAAGATTGAACTACATCTATGTTATTATTTTATGTTAAGAAAGTCTATAAATAATTAGTATTTTAAAAATTTTGCATATTTAAAGACCTACAGCATATCAAAGAATCTAATGCATGGATTGAATATTCAAATTTGGAATGCTGATACAAATTAATGGAGTGCTGATTTGAACTTAGAATATTAAATTGAACAGATAGGAATTTCATGAAGACAATGCTATTGTTACTTTGAGAAGAAATATTTTACCACATTTTATGCTCATTTTAATACAGCTGAAAGATTTATTTAGATATATGAATGGTCATATTCAACAATTAAAGTACTTAAAGAAAAATTAGAGTGTATTTGATTTATCCAATCACTCATTCTTCTTTTCATAAAAAAAAAAACCCTGGGAACCCACCCCTATTATTATTGAAAAAGTGATTGACCTACGTGATTATTAGGTTGTCTCCTCCCAACAAACTGAAGGTTGAAACATATCCAATTTTCATCAGAGTTGCTTATACCTAGGAGTGACTGTAGAGAAAGTAAGTACTTAGAAAATACTTGTTGCATGATTGGAATAGACACTGCTTATTACACAAATGCACAATGAGATAGCTGCTCACATCTGTGGGGGTGACCACTTCCCACTCAAAGATGTAAGCGTAGACCTGACTCTATCCATTTTATGATGTAAGATGAATGAGCTTGTCATTTGGAGGCAAAAACATAAGAATGTAATTAGGAGGAGGGTCTTTAAAGTCAAAACAGCCTGGGTTTCACAATAAGTCCCTGAAATTTACTAGCTGTAACTAGGAACTGTGGCAAAAGACACAACATTGCTAATCATCTGTACAGTGGAGCTAGTGATACTTAAACATTGCTCATAAGGGTTAAATCCAATGATGTATCTGAAATGTTTGGTGGAGTCCTCATGATTAAAAGAATGGAAAGACAAATACAAGAATTGTGTAACAAGGAGAACTTGAGGCAGAGAGGCTATTGCCAGAGTAATGAGACAAAAAACAGTTAAGAAGTAGCTACACAGGAGCCTTTTGGGAGAGGGAAATTGAGTTAAAGAGAGTGTTTGCAGTTATTTCAACTGTTGCTGCACAGATCCTTGATTTGCTGCCTCTTTTCTGTGCTGCTTGGCCATCCTAGTGTTCCCCTGTGTGGGGCTCCCCCAGCTTCACTGAAATTGTTTCAGAAGATCATGTCTTCCCACAAGCTTAAGAGTAGAAACTGTTTTCTAGGCATCTCTGCCACCCTGGTGTGTAGAATACTCTCAAGTCTCACATAGACTTTTGATGAATGTTGACTGACCAAATGAATGGTGGACATCACAGTTTGGGACAGTTCAAACAATTTTCTAACACCCATATTCACTCCTTTAGAGATCACACTAAAAGATCTAACAGGACAAAACAAATAAAAATAAAAAGCTGGGGATATAGCTCAGTGGCATAAGTGCCTGCCTGGCAAGCACAAGGTTCTGAGTTCAATTCCTGGTACAAAAAAAATTTTTTTAAAAAAAGATCTAACAAGAAGTCATAACAGGAAAAATATTAAGGTTAATTGTAAAAAAAAAAAAAAGGCAATGCTTGTTGAGGGGACTTCTAGTAAAATGACAGAGTGGTGAGCAGCAGTAAATCAGTAAATCAATCTCTCCAAGATCTGAAGT